TTTTTACTTTGTACTTACATTCCAAAAAATTCTTAATGCTCCCAATTTTTTTTTTAAAGAAAAGTACTAAATGTAGGTTTAAAATTTTTAGAAATAACAAACTATAGAGGATGAAACATTTCCAGAAAAAAAAAAGAATGTATAAAATTGTCTTAAAAAATAAGAAATCAACACGACTAATTTTGCGAAAATCACGAAATCTGAAATCGAAAAATACGAACCGTTTCATTTAAAAGTATAGCAATATCTGGTAAGTTAAAACATTTTTTAAATTCAAATTTATTTTAAATCTTAAGTTATCAAATAAGTTAATTTTCTATGATACAATTCTATGATGAATACTCAAAAATTTGTGTGAATGGTTGCATAAAACACAAAAAAAAATTCTATGTTATAAGATGTTATAACTATTTTATATTTTAATAAATAAATTGAATCTATAAAGGTTATTTTAAACTAAGTAATATTATATTTGTTATAAAATGTCACAAAATTAAGGGTAATATTAATCATTTTTGCTAATCTCATTCTAATTACGTCAATGATAAATTTTATAAATCACGATTAGTTATTTGTTGTTGACACAAGATTGCGATTGAACAAAACTTTTGAAGATTTTCGTGGTTTTTTATCTTAACATAACTGAAATTAGAGTTAGTTTCACTCAAAAAGTTCTGAACTATGCGTAATGTGATCGGCTAACCGAAAATTCTATTAAGTTCTATTCCTATCATTTCTATTTATAATATTATAATGGACACTAAACATATCATTATTAAACTAAAGTGTGTTTAATCATAAATAAATTTTTGTCCCTGTTAACAAAATTAAATTTAAGTCTCTCAAAGATACTATTAGTTGTGACATATTTGCCACATTCCTTCTTAGTCTGACCTTGGCTACCTCGGACAAAATATAAGCGCTTTAAAATTCAGATTTAAGGAACTTTTTTGTTGGAATCTTGGGTATAAATTCAATTTCGACAGTTTTGATTTTTAAAAGTAGGCAAATCATGTTTCTGTTTTTTTTTTCGTTCTTTTTTAATAAATATTAATTTTCTAAAATTATTAAAATTTTATAATTAAATATCAACCTTATTAATTATAAATTTAAATTATCCAGTATATTATCATTATCTTGCGCACATCCATTTTCGGACTAGCCCAAGGTCAATCAAACGTGCTTCAGTACTGCAGCAAGAACACGCTATAAAAGATCTCTCTATTTACGCTTCTAACTGTATTTACGCTTCTGTTTTCATATTTTGTAATCTAGCAATCTTATTACGAAAATATTTTAAATCATTCTTGAAAGATCCGGTACGTGTTCTTTACATTTTATTTTCTGTTTTTTGCTTGATATGTTTTATTTCGTATATATTTTTAACTGAATGCGTTCTGTTTTCGTTTAAATATTAGAAAGCACTCCTTCCTGCGGATATAATCGTGTGAACTGAAGATATTATTTATTGTCATTATTTTGTTTTCCGGCTTTCAAAAAATATTTTATTTTAATAATTTTTCTTCTTCTCTTCTCTTTAATCTTTATTATTTTCCATGTTTTCTAACTTATATTATGAGTTCTACATACTTGCCAGTTTATGCGTAGGAAATAAAATATATTAATTTATAATAATAAAATTTATTATATTATAATATTATTAATAAAATTTATTAATAAATTTTATTTACTAACTACGCATGAGCACGTTTGATTGACCTTGGACTAGCCCGAAAATGGATGTGCGCAAGATACTAATATTATACTGGATAATTTAAATTTATGATTAATAAGGTTGATATTTAATTATACAATTTTAATAATTTTAGAAAATTAACATTTATTAAAAAAAGAAAAGAAAAAAAAAACAGAAACATGATTTGCCTATTTTTAAAAATCAAAACTGTCAAAATTGAATTTATACCCAAAATTCCAACAAAAAAGTTCCTTAAATCTGAATTTTAAAGCGCTTATATTTTGTCCGAGGTAGCCAAGGTCAGATTAACAAGGAATGTGGCAAATGATTATCACAACTAATAGTATCTTTGAGAGACTTAAATTTAATTTCGTTAACTGGCCCAAAAATTTATTTATGATTAAACACACTTTAGTTTAATAATGATATGCTTAGTAACTTAGCATAATATTATAAATAGAAATGGCAGGTATAGAATTTAATAGAATTTTCGGTTAGCCCGATCACATTATGCATAGTTGAGAACTTTTTGAGTGAAACTAACTCTAATTTCGGTTATGTTAAGAAAAAAAACCACGAAAATCTTCAAAAGTTTTGCTCAATCGCAATCTTATGTCAACAACAGATAACTAATAGTGATTTATGAAATTTATCATTGACGTAATTAGAATGAGATTAACAAAAATGATTAATATTACCCTTAATTTTGTGACATTTTATAACAAATATAATATTACTTGGTTTAAAATAACCTTTATAGATTCAATTTATTTATTATAAAATAGTTATAACATTTTACACCAAAGAATTTTTTTTGTGTTTTATGCAACCATTCACACAAATTTTTAAGTATTTATCATAGAATTGTATCATAGAAAATTAACTTATTTGATAACTCAAGACTTAAAATAAATTTGAATTTGAAAAATATCTTAACTTACCAGATATTGCTATACTTTTCAATGAAACGGTTCGTATTTTTCGATTTTAGATTTCGTGATTTTCGCAAAATTAGTCGTGTTGATTTCTTATTTTTTAAGACAATTTTATACATTCTCTTTTTTTGGAAATGCTTCATCCTCTATAGTTTGTTATTTCTAAAAATTTGAAACCTACATTCAGTACCTTTTTTTTAAAAAAAAAAATTGGGAGCATTAAGAATTTTTTGGAATATAAGTACAAAGTAAAAATATATATTTCCAAGTAAATAAATTCCGTAGGTGCCATTATTACTTATTTTAAATCATTTAGAATTTTAAATTATTTAGAATTTTTAATAATTTTAAGTTTCACCACCATTTCGAAATAGAAAACACTGTTATTTAGTGGGTGTTTCACAAATATTGCCCATAATATATATATTTTAAATCCGTGTTAAATATGAAGAAAAAAAAGGTACACACATTAAGAATCTCAAATCAATATCTAAGCGATAGATTATATCTTTTATTTTCCGGATTTTTTAAAATTTTGTCTTTTTTTCCGATTATTTTTAATTTTTTTCTTATTATTATTTCCTTCTTCTCCCTTTTTTTCATTGTTCAGTAATTTTTCCCTTGTTTTCTCTACATTTTGATATATATATATATATATATATATATATATATATATATATATATAAATATNATATATATATATATGTTGTTACCCCTTAAGGTAAGAAACATCGCAAACACTACTTAGCTCTTTAGACGAATTAGTTTTTTTTTTTCTTTTGAGGAAATTAAGGATTTATTAATAAAATAAAAACATGCAATGCTCGAAAAATAGTTCTGAAATTCCGGCAAGTAAAAATGTACCGAACCGACGTTCCGTTTCGGCCCCATTACACCCTGCGTTGAACTGCGCATGTTCTGAACAAAACAAATTCTTTTTACAAATTTTTAATAAATGTTTATATTTGGGTATCTTCAAACTAATGGACACTCAGTTTTTAATATGAAACATTTTAAAATGAATTGAACATGCCCAAAAAAAAATAATAAATTTTTCGAGACAATTTTTTTAGTTATGCCAGCTATGTGTATAATAGGAATGAAACATGTTTTAGAATTGAAACATGGTTTAGAACAAATATGAGTTTTTTCAAACAAATTGAAGCTCACCTTTTAATATCAATCTATTTAAAATAAATTCCTGCCACATCGTGAAAAATTATAAAAATTAGCAAAATATCCTCTTCTATGCTTGTGAAATGTATACTCTGAACGAACTCTTTAATAGAAAAATACGAACTCTTTTTATACTCTTTTTGAGAAAAAAAGTTTAGTCTTAAAAATTTTTTAGAAATATTTCTTGGCTTATATAGGTATTCCATATTTGTAATTTTACTATTATAGTACATGCAGTAATTTCATTCATTATACGAGTAAAAATTCTTCTCGTTTATTCTTCTTAAATTTTAGGTTATTTTATTTGGTTTATTCTATTATTACCTTAAGTTATTTTTAGTCATTGCCTTAGCTTATTTTATTATTATTATTATTAAGTACAGATAATGATTTTCATTCCTTTATGATTTACATGTTGAAAATATGTTTTTAGATAGCACTAAAATAATTTTATATTTTGTTTAAAAAAAATGTCCTTTGTTTTTGTGGAAAATATTGAAATTTAAGAAGATAAAAAATTATGTATGAGAAGCAATGGACAATTACAACATCTCTTACTCTTAATTATTTTTATTTTCAGTTCTAACTTAGTAGAAATTCTGTACTGAAACCGAAAATCTAATTGTTTTTTTTCACAAACGTTTATATTTATTTAGTTATTAAACATTTAAATTTTTACCATCTCATATCGTTGGATTTAATTACGAAAATTCAAATGAAGGACAGCGATTGTAAACGAATAGCAGTAAGCAGTAAGAACGAAAGTAAGCGTTTTTTGTTTAAAAATAACTAAATAATTGGCGCTCTTAGAAAAGTAGTGAAATGTTTTCTGGGAGTTTTGAGGGATTCTGAATGCATAAAGATTTTTTAAAAAAATGACTGTAATTGTTCATTTCAGTGGGCAGGAGGTGGAGCCTCTCAGTAACTGAAAAATAATCTTCAGTTTGAGTTTGTCTAATGCATGACGCAATGACTCAGAAGTATACTTATCTTTTGAATCTAAGGTTCAATCACCACTGATACTAAACAAATCCAGATCCAGGAGAAAATCCAGATCAGGAATCAGTGCCTCTGTCCTGTCCTTGCTCGATCCAGGATCAAAGGGAATGGAATTCGGATGAAAATTCTGAGACTTTAATCGGGGCAGAATTAGGCAGACTAAAACGTTTACAGCGAATAAAAAAAGTGTAAATAAATAATAAATTTTTGGTAAACTTTCTGTGTACTTACTTTGATGTTTTATAAGATTTTCATCTGAAGAACGATTCGATTGTTAACTATAAATTGTATTGAGAGAGAGTATTGTCTGTAAGATTATTAAATTGTTCTAAAAACTCGTAGAACTGAATAGTATAAATTATTTATTATCTTATCTCTAACATCTGTTACATATTTATTTACATTTCAAAATAATAATTTGTGTTATTTTTTAGATCCTGTCAAAATAAATTTCAAATCTCATTGAATAATTTATAGAATTTAAAAGATGTTCTGTAAAATAAAACAAGTCGTTCATGTGTCACTGTCACTAAAAACGATGTTCTTATCTTACTTAAATATTCGAATCCACCTGGGCTAGCTTTAATTTAAAAGACCTTTAAACAATGTCTTTTTTTTTAAAAAATTTGTTATTTGTTGATAAGTCAGAAACATTGAAAATTTATTAATTAATAAGGAATATCTATTATTTTAATTGCAATCATCTTTGATTTTTTTTTTGTTGTGGTTCAGTTCTGTTTTATCACTATCAGGCAATTCCACCATGAAAGAATATAATTTTTCAGACAAAAGCCTTTAAATCAGTTTTAAAAAAATTCGAGTAGTTCTAATAATTTTTGTTGAAATAAGTCTTTGTGTCCACTTACTCCAATTTTTAGAAATTTAAAATATTACAGTACAACAAAATATTCTGTAACAATCTGTTACAGATGTAACACATAATATGTTATGTCTGTCTTTAATTTTTAAAATATTTTAAATTTCTATAAGTTTCTAAAAATTGGAGTAAGTGTAAATAACTCAGAGACTTATTTTTACAGAAATTATTAGAACTGCTTGATTTTTGAAACTGAGCTGAAAATACAACATTTGCAAATGCGCGAATTATTCTAATTATAAATTTGAGAAACAGTTTGGTTTTCTTTATCAACTATTTAAAATAATTCTCTGAATAAGATTTGGTTACTCTGATAATAAAACTTTGTAGTGTCCAACTTTGTACTTAATTACAGATTGTTATTAGAGATGTTTAAATGTTAACTGATGAAAATCGGCTAACTGTTACTTTGGAACTGTTGTAAATATTGCCAAGAAGCACAGTTTTTAACGTATGACAAATGTTTGTTGTTACATGTATATACATCTTTATATTCAGCATAATTTCTTCCTTAGCTGCCTTTTTTATTATTAAATACCAATATCTTTTCCAGGTAATGTGATTGTGTGGCCTTAAAGAAACTAAAACCATGCCTACAGAATGGCCCTTAGATACATCTCAAACTTTGGAATTACTGAGTTTGAAAAATATTTTCAGCTGGTTTTCTTCCGGTGCCATGATAATTGGTGGTATTGTGCCTTATATTCCTCAATATAGAGAAATAAGAAAAACAGACAATGCTGATGGATTTTCCACTTATGTTTGTTTAGTTTTGTTAATAGCTAACACCTTGAGAATCATATTTTGGTATGAAATGTTCTTTAACTCTTGGATATTTTCTGTGATTCCATTAAACATATATCAAATATTTCACATTAAATTTTCTTTTTTTTTTGCGTGTCTATTACACACTGGTTGGAAAAACATTATTTTTGCACTTAACCATAAGCACTTTATTATAAACATGGATAACTACAAATATTTATGTTTTTTTTTTTTTTTTTAATTTGTGACTTCTAACTACTATTTAAATTTAATCCCTACTTTTATAAGGACAATATTGTCAGAAGAAATTAATTTATACCCATGTTCAAAAGGGTTTTGCATAAAAAAATTTAAAACTGCTTATTTAAACATGAGGAATTATTAAGAAATACTTATTCGTGTTTACATGAACCAGTTTGTTATTCTAAACCATTTTTACGAATTCGTTCTTTTAAGCTTTAACTTTCTATGCCTTTCTTGACAGCAATTACTTATTTAAGAAATGTTATTAAATTGTTAAATATTCACAATTTTGTTAAGTGTTTAATGATCTTTTATTTTCTCTTAGAAATAATAAACAATTACAGAGAAATTATGTTTCCTTCCATTGAAATATCATCAATATTTCTTAAGTGTACATTTGCATTTGAAGTTGTGGTCACAGTCATTAATTAGCTATTTTGCATAAAGACTGGTTTATATATTAGTAATACGTAATTCTGAACATGTATTTTTTATTAACTTTCAGCCAAAGAGGTATTCTCATTGTGTACATTGACAGGTCCGCTAAGATTTGTACCAATCACATTAGAAAAATTAGTTGCATTTGTTTCATTAAACGTAGTTACCAAGAATCTCTACTAACTTTTGTATTTTCATACTGCACTGCAAAATGCAGTGGCTATAGAAATTTTGCTACTTGTAGCACATTATTTCCAACTACTGCTATTACCTTTTCATTAATGTGTGCTATATGCAGGTGTAAAAAAAAAAACAATTTAGTCACTGGTAACCAGACCAATAGACACCTGTTCACATTGAATATAGCAATAAATGATACCTCAACAATTGTTACTGGAGCACTAGAGGCATTCTTGGTTCATAGACTTTTCTGTCAACAACCCTCTTCTTTTTTCTTTTCTTTCATGTTATTTTTTATATTGTTTTCATTTTGTGATGCAGTAGTCATTAGAAATTTTAAAAAATAATACTCTAAAAAACTTCTACATACAATATCATAAATTGTGTGTATGGGATAAATATTTATTTTTCTAATTACTGAATTGACTGTGATTTTTTTCTTATTTTTAGGTTTGGACATCCTTTTGAGATTCCTTTGCTTTTGCAGAGTATCATAATGAATATAGCTATGTTAGCTATGATACAGCTCTGTGTTCAAGTAAGAAACAAAACTGTAATAGTTCCTACAAAGAATCGAATTTTCTCAGGTATAGATATCATTATTTTTTATTCATTGATTGTTCATTCATTTGTATTGTTATCTATCAGACCTTCTATAATTATGCAATTGCTGTAGTTTCTGAATAGCATCTGATTTTTACAAGAAAAACTACTCTTTTGACATACAAGATACAATTTTTAAGGAATAACAAGTCTGTTACAAATAAGGTTTAAAACATTAGCATAAAGAACAGATATTAATAGATAAATGTTAATTGTTTTGAAATATGCTATTCACCAATAATTATTTTATTTAATTAAGTTTTATCCAAATCTATTTTATTAGTATATAATAATATTATTGGTATATAATAATAAAATCTGTTTAAATACATTTTTAAATGGTGAAAGTGTTTATTAATATAGGACACTTATTATTGTACATTTAATTGAAGATGGATGAGATGACATATTTAATGAAACAAATAATAACTTAATGATGTACTTTATTTGGTGAGTTATCTTAATCTAATAGTTACATCATCAGCCAACTATGGCCAAGCACCTAGCCCCATTTTTAGGCCTCTATCTTTTAATGGCCGTAGTAGGAATGCCACCTAATTCTGATCTTGATCAGATGACGTGGACAGCACCTGAGCTGGTACCCTTTTCTTAAAACTTCTACATCAATACCAACGAGAGGATTTTTTAGCCAGTTCTCCAAGCATGTGAGCAATGCTTTAACCAACTGTGCCTAAACTAGCTGTTGCATTGGTTAGTCTACATTTTAAAGTGCGTGGGATCTGGTGTATTAAAAATTGTTGCAGAAATATTTTGAAAGACACTAACCTATACAATAAGTTTTCAAACCTCACAACCTAGCCTAGTTGTCAAGACCAATGAGCCAAAAAATCTTATGCAGATTGAATTGATATAGGCCTTTCTGGGAAAAGTTTGAAACCATGTTATTGTTGCTGTAATGCACAAGCTATTATAATCCATCAGTAAAAATTGTAATTTTTATAATCAATAGCAATTTAAAAAACTTTTATTTTAAAGTTGCCAGAGTTACTGGGACACAATTTCTGTAAAAAGCATTTTTTTTAAATCTATATATGGATTTATAAATAGCTGTTAACCCATCATCAATATAATTATCATCAATCAAAAACTTGATAAACACTTAATCTCCTTTATTAGAATTTAGATAAAATTCAACTGCACATAAACTGTATTCCAACAGCTAAGAAGATAATATTATTGTTCAACATTTTTAGGCTTAATTTTTCATAATACATCACAATTGAATATTTTCTATATTTAATTTTATTAACAGGGATCAATCTAGAATTTCTTTAATCAATCGAATATATCAGAATAGAATCAATCGAATCTAGAGCAATCTTTTGAGGTTCCTATTTTTGAAATTTTGTTAAAACTATATAATTTTGTGGAAGTTTATTTTTGAATATTTCAATGAAATGTATCTGAAGTTTGTTGTCTCGTTCTTTAAGTTTTTATGATCCATTTAAATGTGTTTTATTTAGTCATCTCACAAAATTGCATATTTTTTATGTATCGGTAAATTAATTTTTGACTTGTAAGAAAGCAAATGAAATAATATAGTAATCATCTTCTTCTTCATAAGCCTGTTGAAGGCCTTGACTGCCTCCATCACATACTTCCGGTTGTCTTTCAGCATGGGATCCTTCAGGTTTTTTGAATGTCAAAATCTTCTTCACTGATTGTCTATTAAGCTTCTCCAAACAGGGACTATCCATCTGGTGGTATCTATCACTACAGATGACTTGCATTGTTTATAGTTGTCTGGGTGTAGTTTATAGTGTCTTTTCCAAGGTGTGTCACTACTGGGAGATTTAAAATTCTCTCAGAGCGCCTCAGTTCTATAATATTTATCTTCAGTAAAATATTTATTATGTACACTTTATATATATATGTAAGAGAATGAAACAAGATCTATAGAATTAAGTAATGAGAATATAATTTGTAGCCTTCCATCGATCGACAATGCCAATTGTGCTGATCAACCAGTGCCGGATTACCCATTAGGCCAGACTAGGCCATGGCCTGGGGCCCCCAATGATTAGGGGCCTCCTTAAAAGGGATTTTTTGAAAATAAATTTTAAAAAATTAAGAAAAATAATGATTTTTTAAAAAAAAATCAATTTCAAATATATATTAATAAAATACGATAATTTTTTATATAATGTTAGTCATATTTATTCATTACTTATTAAACTTTAATTTATTATTATTTATTTTTATTTTAAACATGCTTTCTTAAATGAAAAGATATATAAATACTTTTATATTTGAATAAATAAAAAATATACGAGAAAAAAAATTAATCTAAGGGCCCCAAAATTTTGAATGGCCTAGGGCCCCGCGTACGCTTAATCCGGCTCTGTGATCAACGAACCTTACTAGCCAAAAAATTTTCTTTCAATTTAGGGGTTTTATTTACACCTGTTTTGGTGAAAGTACAATCTGCCTCTAGGGAACAGGGTTATCAAATGCATCGTCACATCGCATAATTTTTCATCATGGTTTCAGATTTGCATATAGTTTTATATCAGATGTAATCGTAATAGTTTACTTTTTGTTAAGGAGTTTTGACATTGACATGATGGAAATTATGTAAGAGTTTAGATAGAGCTGTTACTTGTATTTGAGTGCTAATGTTTATTGTAAAATTTTTGCTTCTAATTGCTAATTATTGTTGTCATTTTTCAGACATTATCATGTTTAGTTAATGTGTTTTCTCTTGATGTTTACCCTGTTTTTTTTTCTTTCTTTTTTCCACTGTGTGATTTTAATCAATAAAATCATAATTGAATTATCATAAGTGTCTAATATCTTGATTTATGTACAATTATATTGGCCTCCGGCAATCGGGCTTACTCCTCACAATTAGCAGGTTTGTGATGTTTTATTTTCATGCTTTTAAATAAAGCATGTGGCAAGCCAAAGAGTCCCATTTTATAGTGGATCAAGTCAAATTTCAGTGGCCTAGAACCAGCAGACCTTCACTAATTCCGAGCCCTTACTTTTTATGTTTCTTTTTTGATAGAATTATTTAATTAAATATTTAAATAACTAGAAGAGCAAGAAATTTTCATAAATTCAATAGTTTTTTACAACTTGTAATTAAAAGCCACTCTATTTCAATTTTAATTCTAAAAAGAGTGTTAATAATATTTAAGAAATTATAAATAAAGAGAAATTACAATCCACACTCAAAGGTATAACTACTTGCATTACTTCTATCTTTTTATTTTTGAATGATATTTGCTCTTTAGATATTTTTGCAACTGCTAAAAAACCTCGCTTTTCACAGGTGTAATGTTTCATTTAGGATAGGATAATCAAATCTTACATTCAAAACCTGAATTAACTACTTTATTAAATTTACTTTATTGACTCTAATTTTGAATACCAATAGCTATTAGAGGATTATTATCATATTTGAAGTCATGGACTTGTTAAGGCATGCCTCATCACACTTTACGGCACTTTGAGTATCCTTGCTTTATAAAAAAATGGTTTTGTGAATGAATCATTTTCAAAGTTTAAAATCATGGTTCATGTAAGAATTTTGTAATTTTGTGAAAGGTCTCCTCTTTTAAAACTGAATTTTGTGATTTTTTTTCTGTTTGAGTTTTTAATTTTTGTGAAGGGTTCTTTAAACTAAATTTTTTTCTAGATTAACCCTTGGTGAGTATCAAAATATTTTGAGTTGTATGCAATTTTCTATTTCTAAGAAAATTTTCACTTTTTTTAATAAATAGTAAACTAATTTTATTCATGTCTAAAAATAAAATTCTTTCTTTCACTCTACTCTCATAACAATTTCTTTCATGAACAGAAAAGGAGGAGGAAGGTAAACCAGAAGTTTCACCTAACTGCACTCCTCGCTCTTATTGGGGTAGGTCTATTCTTTCTTTTAACACCACCCACCCTAACCTTTCTTTATTTATATCCTATCCCTCTTGATTATTACTTTTTTTTTTTAAATTTTATTTACTGATTATGAAAAAACAATTTAATTTAATGTCTTCTTTATAAAAAGATATGGAATTCCTTTTTAAGGGCATTTCGAAAAAATATATTCTTAAGAATTGATTTTTTACATAAAATTTTTATAACTTATTTATAAGTGCAGGAAACTTGTTTATTTATTACGAGACCTAACCTTAAGAGATCTCTTGTTTAGAAAGAAAATTTTAATTGATCTTTAAACCATGTTATTGCAAGCATAAATAAAGCAGAACAATGTAAGCATGTTATAAAATATATTTCTCAATGTTTTGCCATGAATCACATGAATAAGGTATAAATTTTAATAAGGTATAAGATGTGTTTTTATGCAAACTATTGAAAAGAGCCATATTTATTATTGATGTTTGTGATATTTTCTTGACCAATTGTTGTAAAACAGCAAATTTAACAATGATAGGGAAGGAACAATTACCCCCCCCCCCTCCATCCTGCAACAAGTTTTCCAATTTTTTAGACTAAAAATACCCAAATCTTTTAGCAGGTGTTAGAGATAGTTATGCATTTTGAACATTGAGTAGTTGCAAATGTTTAATCACAAAAAAAAGGAAAAATGAACTCTAATATTATTTTAATCAGCATGAACAAAACATTATAAAAGTATATTTTTTTTTATTTATTTTTTTTAATTTTTTTTTGAGTGTCATATCTTTTATTTTTTATATTGTGTGTTAATTGATTTAACAAGCACACTGAATTGCATCCTTCCTTTCTTTCGTGTTATAAACAAACAAAAAGTAGTTTGAACAAAAAGTAGATTTTTGCAATTTTTTCAGAGGAAAATTCAGTTGATACTATCTCTTTTTTATTTTTAAATCTAGCTTCAAAGTAGTTTTTGCAATTTGTCAGGAAAAAAAATTTTGGTTTATTTAATTAATTATTATATTATGGTTTTATAAAATTGATAATTGGTATATGATTGTAATTATTAACAGTTTAAAAATGGATTTAAAAAACATTATATTTTTCTAGATCTTGATGCAAAATATTTTTGGGAATGGACTGATTTCTTGAGTTATGTTGAATTCCTAGCTACATTTACTGCAATCATGGGAATATTTATGTATATTTGCATGGACATTATCTTTATTGTTGAACTCATTGGTTTTTTAGCTGTTTTCATTGAGGCTATGTTAGGTGCTCCACAGTTTTATAGAAATCTGAGAAAAAAATCCACCTTAGGAATGAGGTTAGTTTTTAGAACAAAAATTTGAAATATACTGTTTGCTCTTTTTAAATAATTCATAACTTATAAGTGATATGTTATTGTTAACACTTACATAATTTTTCTTTTGAAACATTCGTGCTGATTTAGATGCATGCATGTTTAGTGAAATTACTTTTAAAATGCTATTCTATAAAGAATAAAGTAATAATTCAAAAATAAAATTAATTTTTATCTTAATAAAATATAGCTTTTATTTGGTGCTTATATCTGTTTATTTAATATTTTTTCATAAATAAAATTAATAACTTGATGAAAATGTTATAAATTCACCATAAAAATTAACATTCTTATGACATTATTGTAAATTTTTATAATTTAATTTCATAAATTCTTAAAATTTAAAAAGTTTTGAATAAATTTGTTATTTGTACATAAAAATTTGAAATGGGAAAACATTATCCTACGAGAGTATTGAGTTACCATGCTGAACCTGAGGCTGGTGAAACAAAAGTGGACTGCCAAGATTTTTCAAATTATTCACCAGATACATAATTTTTTTTATATAAATCACGCAAATTTTGGCTAGGTTTTTAAATTTGTTTGATTTATAATCATTAATTAATTGCAATAATATTTATTAATCAACCAAATTTTGCTGTTCGTCTGCAGCTGGTGGGAATCACTGCCCTTTGAGTTGTTTGCCGTGCTCACAGACTTCCTCTGATCACCTGAACAATTTGTGGTATTTAAATTTGTATGTGACTTGGAGATCTTAAGTACAATTTCTTGAGCTCTTGTGTGGCTTGTAGCTGTGCAACAGTGTCACACATATCTTCGAATACAATCACGTGGGGCAGGCCATGATGGTTCAGGGGATAAAGCGTTCACTTCCCAATGAAGTGGTCTTTGTTCAAATCCCAGCTGTGCTTAGTTCATATGAATTCTGCTCTCATCTCACACAGACCACAGTGCTGATATAAAATAGCCTTAGTTGTAGACACAGCATCGATCTTGCCGTCTGGTAAACTGTGGGAGGTTTACTCAGTACGGCAAATGTGGGCTAGTTCCATCAGAAGGCTAGTTTGTCCTAATGCTTGATCCAGGAGTTCTCTTTTCTGGGTTGGGTTCAAAATTGCTATAATTAGAGTTGAAATATGATAGTCGTAAACTGGGTCAGCTGTCATCGCCTACTATAAAATAAAGTAATTGGGTGGGACATGGTTTAGAAATGTTTTTTACTAGCAATAAAACATTCTGTAGATATCTAAATCAATGCAATATTTAGCAAGTTAATATTAAGTGTAAACTAAACTCAGTGGCACGACAGCCCATAGAGAGCATGCTACTGTGCCCATCTCAGTTTTCTTGACCTTGGGCTCTGGGGTGTAGGAGCAGATGTTTCGGTCAGGTGGTCAGCCGAACGCGGAACCCCTAGTGTTTAATTCCCAAGCATGCTTGGACATTTATCGACCCACTGAAGGGATGAAAGGCTGAGTTAACCTTGCCCGGCCCAGAATATTAAGTGTAACTATGATAAATTCTATGATTTAAAAAATGAAACTCAAATTAATCTTATTGTTATTTACAAAAGACAAACTCTGAAATAGGAGAATGTTAAAGTTTGAAAAGTTTAGCTAAAAATATGCAATATTACTCTAGTATGTATTCTTAGGTATATAATGTATGTATAATTTCATTATTAAATGAAATACTTCACATCTAATTCAATAGAACCTCAAATGTAAGAAAAATTACAGAAAAAAAATCATTCTGACCTCTTTGAGATCTTCATCTAGCAAAACTAATACTGAACATCATTAATTAAGTTGTAAATCAGGACTTTCCCAATAAAATGAATAATACAAGAAATTTACTTTTATAAAAAATAATTTTGATAGTATTTTACTGTCTGGTGATACGTGTAAAATTGATGGCAGTAGGATTTCATTTCTTGGTAAAAAGTTTAACACTTCATTCCTATCTGGAGTATAATGCTTTGAATACTGATTACAAAAAACATATGGAGTTTCTCAGAAAAAAAGAAATTATTGTGTTGAATTGAGGTTTCAGTTGAAACATATTACTATAATCAATATTATTAATGCATTGAAACTGATTAACTTTATTTTATTACTCTTTTAAAAGTAATGTATTAGCATTATAAATATAATTTTACTACAACAATAAAATTGCACTTTATAAAATAAAAAAAATTTTACATTCGATTTTACTTTATTTTATCCAGTGATAAGATTTCCCGCGCACACAATTCCAGCTTTTTTTTTATATTTTGAAAAATATCCGATTAATGTCTTATCCCTTTATACACTTTTTTAGTTTAAAAATCCATTAATTGACAATGATTCATCAAAATTAACTTAAAATACTTTGTTAATCAAAATTAACTTAAATTGATTGATTTATTAATGATCGATCAAAAGTATCTTAAAATCCATTGATTGATAATTATTAATCAAAATGAACTTACCATTGATTGATCATCACTGATTCATCAAAATTAATTGAAACTGATTTATTGAAATGAATTTAAAATCCATTGATTGATGATGATTGAAATGTAATTATATTAAGGGTATTAGAGTGTAATTCATTAATTTATTTTTGTAAAGATATAAGTTTTATTATTTAAAACTGAGTTTTTTATGGCTATATTTGCTATACTTCATGCTTTATTAATTATTTTGTTTTAACTTTCTTAATCATTTTTTAAACATGTTCCTTTGATTTTTTTTTCCGATTTTTTTTTCTCTTTTTCTTCTTTATTACTGTTTTATATGACATTGAAGCACATGTTCGTAAAACATGTTTTGTTTTTCGTATAGTTTCAATATATTGTAAAAAAATATGAATGCATAAATAACTTACTTATTAGTTGTCTAGGATTTATATATAATTTAAAACATATTTGAAAAATTTAAATTTCATAAAGCAAAAATATTTTTAACATGTTAACTATTTTTAAAAAATTTTCATTTATTGATTTTAATATTTTTCCCATCATATATCTATTTTTAATTTTTTCCCAGCAAGAAAATGGTAGGCTTCTGGACGATTGGAGATGTATTTAAAACATCATATTTTTATATCCGAGAAGCTCCTTTTCAGTTTTGGTTGTGTGGTATTCTACAAATTGGTATTGATATTTTAATTGTACTTCAAATTCTATTTTATCGAGTAACTCCTAGTCCTGTAAAACTTCTCTTAAAAGGAGAGACTCATACAAACTGATATTTTGTTTTAATTTATGTAAAACCAAAGATTTTTCTGTATTCAGTTTTGAAAAAATATAATTTTTTATGCAAATTTAAAAATGACGTAAGTCATGCCCGAGATTTTCAAATATATATATTTTTTTTTTTTTTTTGTTAAATTTTAGATGTAATAGTATACTGCATTTGAAACTTTAAATTTCAGGTATAAATTTTTTTTGCAAATATCTTTTTTAAATTATTTTTGGAATAATGTGTATATTTGTTATTTTCCTTTTTTTCGTACTAATTCTGTCTTCCTTTCTGTTCTTTGGAAAAATGTTACACATTACACATTAAAATGTTTTATTTTTAAATGAATTTCGTTGTAAGCTTAAAAGTACTTAATATTTATGAACAATAAAAACTTTAAAACTAATTTTTTTTTTAATTTGAAAAGTGATTTTTATAGTTTTTGTTAGAACTATGCATTGTACACTGATGCAGAGTACATTGTACATTGATGCAGAGTACACTGATTAAATTTTTAAAAAAAGAAAGAAAAAGAAAATCCAGAGCTTCCAAAGAATTATCTTGAAATTTTACTTAATCAATGTATTCATGGTAGAAAATTTAAAATTTCAAGATGGAACTGGTTCTATATAAACTTGAAGCAACCACATGACCAAAGTTAATATGAATTATATAAACTACCAAAAATAGCTGATGAAGTGCTATCAAAATTGCTTAATATTGTTAATTACTTATTAATTACTTATCTTCATATTTTTCTAAGAATACAAAATAATAAAAAGCATTGTTTCATAAAAATGATTTCACGTTTGGTGTAATTTACTAAATTTTAAAATATGTAATCTGATATATTACCCTAAAAGCTCTTTTTTGTAAAAATATTGGTTATTCCATTACTTTAAATTATTATTTTCTATTGTATTTATTTATTATATCTTATTATTATTACATTCTATTATTTATTTCTTGGGTACATTTATTACTTTAGAGGAGATTTACTTTTTTTTCTTCATTGATTAACATTGACTTTTCGGCATATATTTGTAAGTTTTGCGTATACTTAAGAGTTCAAGGTTCGTTTCTAAAATGCTTTTATATATATTAATTTTATATTTCGATTATTATTTAAAGAGTAATGAATATAGAGTATCTATTCAATTATAAGATTATAGTACTATTAACTAAGGTAATAATAACCCAACATTTAAAAAGTAGGGTTATTACTAAACACTAAAAGTATAAATATATGCTTGTATATTAAAATGATTTAATTACACCAAAACAAAGCATTGGTTTAAAAACCCTATGTTATACTAAGACTTCTAATGTATTTCATAATCCTAAAGATGAATTAAAATTCGAAAAATTTTCATTAATGTTTGCCAACTGGCCTCTAAAATTATAAAGTCTAGCATGCTCATATAAAAATTCCAATCGAGAATTTATTTTTTACCCATACCTGCCCCGACTGGCATGCAAGCTTTTTATTAATGTGTCTGCGAGAAATGATTAAGTGCTATGAATCTAATCAAAACGCTATTAATATGCAATTTACTATTTATACTAAATAAAAGTTTATGTAGAGCAGAGATGCACAACCAATTTCAGATAGCTAGATTTTTGGATAGTAAAAGCTAGAAAATACTACGTTGGGGACCAACATGTTTTAGATATGTAATTGTAAAAATACAGAGTGTATGTATTTAGATTTTATTTCAAAGTAATATGAAGGACTTATAACTGCATAACGAATGTTATGCATGAAGGACTGCATAACTAATTTATTTATTTGAGTGCATAGCAAAAAAATTTAAATAAATAATCAAATATATATCATGCTAATAAAACTAAACAAATGCAGTAACAAGATTACAATGCAAGTTATTAGGACAAATTTATAGGTATACAAAACAAGAAATTTTTGATTTATCTCTTCACTTTTGGAATTTTTTTTTTTTTTAAATTTATTTGCTCTAAATCATATGAAGTTACATTTCACAGTAAATGCATTGCTATAAATAAAATTTGCAGAAGGAAATTAATGCAATCTGATATTCAGAGAAAAGCTAAATTAGATCAGTAACTTATTGTTACAAAGCCAGCTGGAAAAAAAAGTTTATCACCAACTTTTTTTAAATAACTTTTTATTAATCTTTACCAGTTCTGAGGCCACTTTTGGCTTAAGGGCCATAGGTTGTGCATCTCTGATGTTGACATAATGTTGTTAATGTCATTTTTTGACAGATTAATAATATATTGATATTTTTTCATTAATATTCAATTTAAAAAAATGCTTGGGCAACACTTGTAAAAGTTTAATTTAGTCATGTATTTTGTAAACTAACATGCCTGGCGAGCATATAAAAGTTTTTTCAAGCCCTGGTTGCCTACTATATTAGTCCACATCTTGCCTTCTACCACCTTCAATAGCGATTTTTTTTTTATGATAGCCTCACTGAGCTAATAAAAGATTTTAAAAAATTGAGAAAAGCAAGGCTGTTAGTCTTTATTTTCCAATTTGAAATTTTAAAATGAAAAAAGGATATAATAGTTTGGTATAAAATTTCAATGTCACAAGTCATAACTAATTGATTGAATTAATGTTCACTAGCATTAAATCAATTGCTTATTGTTATCAAAATATTCTCACAAAAATACAGCGTTTTAAGACTGACACCTTGCTATACTTTGGTAAATTTCTATAAACTATAATATGTTACATATTAATTTCATTTTTTAATTAAAATATTGTATCAGCCAACACATTCAATTATCTTTCATTTTACATACTAGTAGTTTGATTAGCTACTTTTAACCCTTAAAAAATTTTAACACAATTTTATTTACATCTTTTACATTTATATAGAATTGGAAAAGATACATTTCGATATAAGTTAATTGTGCAAAGAGATTTGCATTAATTGTTCATCAAAAAATATTTATTGTGCTTTTTCTTGCCAAATAAAATATGATAGTTCAATTAAAAACATTTCTCAAGTATGACAATCTTAAACTTTTAGACATATCATTTTTTTTTTCTGTAACACTCTTATCTACTATTTTTTTTTCTTATTCCATTTAAAAAAACAAACAAAATATGCTATAATTCAACTTTTAAATGTAACATCCTCCAAACTTTTGGAAATATTTAGCCCTGATGGCAAGACACTAACAATAACAAATGTAACTTTAACTGAATCTACCAATTCTCTTATTTTAAACTGAAATTATACATATCCGAAGATAATTTTGAATACTAAGGAACTATTTTTTATGCTTAATGTGAATTTTCATGTCAAGATAAAATTTAGGACTTGCCTTTTAACCTGAAACTTGTACTAAATCTACTGAGACTTAATTTTATTAGGAAATGTTCCTTTCTACATATTTTTAATGTTGTATTATAGGTGCGAGGAATATTTTTGTAATTTAGATTGTTTGCCCATAAATATTTTACAAGTTAGTTGTATTCAACTAGAATCAGAGATCTTACATTCTATATTCTTTTCTTAAATGTTTAAATACTACATTAATATTTTTAATAAAATCGAATATAAATATTAGGCTCCCCTAAAACGTCCAACAATTTGAAATATCAATTTACAAAGAAAGGTAGGGGATAGAAATGTACAGTCCACTGTGTTCTGCTTAGGAAACTAGGTTTATTCTCACCAAGTTTAAAATTTACAGATAGTGCTACTAAATGTTTTTTGCTGCATGCTAGAACATTTCACCTAAAATACTTGCACCCGTTAAGTTTATTCTAAGATTGCACAACGCTTTTGTGGCAAATGGTGATTGTTTTGAAAATGTTGTTTTACCATAAAAGCCAATGTTAAAACTTCCAAATAACTTATTATAGTATTTTAAATAGCATAAAAGTTTTGATGCTACACTTTAGCATTTGATATTTAGAACAAATTTACTATTTTCATGTCCATTTCTCTGTATTAATAATATTCATTAAGGATGATGCACAATGTAAAATCAAAACTTGTTAGCTACTTTAACTGCTGTAATATTCACCCTATGAATTATGGGAATGGGGAATTATTTTTAAAATTATATCATAAGGATATGGCTTTTTTTTAAAAATTATACAGATCTAGATTCTAGAAAAAAAACTAAGAGAAAAAAATTCAATTTGAAAATAAAAATAACGCTTTTCATTTTCTTTCATGCTCTAATTAAAAATTTTTAGCTATTACAATGATGATTTTATACAAAGCAACTTTATATCCATATTCAACATCATAGCAATTATTTAAGAAAAGTGAAGTTTGTCAGAAGCTGAACATTTTTTTCAAATCCTGTCTTTATTTTTAAAAAATTAGCCATAACAGAAAACCGCTCTTTCATGTTCTACTGAATTATGGAGCGCTTGGCTTGTATATTCTGGAATCACTTTTGAGACTACCTTTAAATTCCAGAATCTGATAAAATCCAGGTAAAAACATTATTTAAAATATTATTTGGATGTATACTAGAGTTTTATTGATAGATTACTCATTCTGGGTATATTTCCGAATCGGCTATCGTTATTAATATTTAAATTTGTCATTTACTCTGGATCAAAAATTCAAGCGGTTTTCACGAAGTTTAATGCTAGCTGACAATTAGCCGCATAGAATTGAAAAAGTAGGTGAAGTTGCATAGTAAAAAAGGAAAAGAGAAGTTTATTTGGTAAAAGGGGAGATTTTGCTGAAAGATAAAAACAATGCAGATATTCAGTGATTATGCAGACAATTGTAAATTATATTGTCTTCCGCATCTTTGCTTAATTTATAAGGCCAAGTAATGTGTATTTTTTGTGAGTTTCAATGTTTGCTTTTATCATTTATTAACTTTAATGCAAAATTTTTCTTCTTCAAATTGTATTTTATAGTTTTTTTTTTAGTTCATACTACCACATGCTAAGGAATCTTACAGGGAATTTTGTAATTTAATGAGAATAAATTACATATCCAGTTTCTTAGGCAGAATACAGCAAACAAGTACTTCTGTTGTTTTCTTAATTAATTTTTTAAACTGTCTGTAAGTAGACCTATTATCTACATACTTACATACCCTATGTGTCTCTTCAACACTTTATAATTTTTATGCTTGATTTTGTTGAACATTGAATTAAATTTAATAATTGTTAACTGTTTGATGCAGAACTTAAACTGATTTTCCAGACTTTTTTCATTTTTTTTTATTAACTTAGGTCAAAATACATGAAAAGTATTATATTTAACATTTTAATAATTTATGGTATTAAATACAGGCATAAAACACTGGTGTCTTTTTCTGTGTTAGAAGTAAAATCAATCTTAACATGGCTCGCTTCCAAAAAATCCAAATTTGCACAAATTTGGATTTTTTGTCCCATCTGCATCAAAGGGTTATTTAGGTGCTAACTTTATATAAACGATAGAAGTGTTTATTCTCATTACTTAATTTGTCTTATATTGAAGTGTAATATTTACATAATTTATCTTATATTGAAGTGTTGTATTTGCATAATTTGTCTTATGTTGAATTGTAATTTTTATGATTCTGTTTAGATGTTTATACTTAAACAAGTAAATTGCATCTCTAAAATTTATAGACGTTGTAGTTTTGTTATAAAATGTAACTGTTATTAATTTATTGATTTGTTTTAATATTTCTAAATAAAATGTGTTTGAAATATATTATTATTGAAAATTTCACACTATTCTATATATCTAATTCCATACCAAACAACGATATTTGTCAAATATTACGCGTGTAAATTATAAAGTATTTTAATACTATTAACAAATTATTTTGTGCAAAGAATAAACACTGAAATATTACTTTTAAATTAATGTTTACAAAAGTCTTAGTGAGTTATCTTAAGTATTGCTATTTTATCACATTCTCCCAATCACAGTGTGATGTTCTCTTTTTAATGACAGATACATAAAGTTCAATTCACTATATCATAAACGTGATTAATTTCATAATTTTTTTCATTCTTTAGTAAACTGTTTAAAACAAATATTAAAATTTCTACTCTATAAATTAGAAACTTCAAAAGTCAACTTGACAGAATTTTTTATTGTATTTTTATGTACATATGATGCTGAGTAAAAACTTAAACAAAACTAAAATATGGTACTTCACTTCAAACTGAAACCTCTTCATTGCTCTTGAAACTTTTCTCTAAGTATGACTGTAGTACAAGCTCTAAATTTCCTTTTTGGCTAGCATGGTTTTTTATATAGTCCTATAAAACAGTAGATAAAAAATATTAGATACACAATAAATTGATACTGCTAATAATATTTAGAGTGGATCATAAGAGGCGCTTAAAATTGATAAATATTAATCTGACATAGTTTTTGGCAATTAACAATGCTTGTAATGTAAATCAGAAAGGAAGAAAAGCATGTGATAGCCTTTCTAATTATGAAAAAATGCAATTATTCTACTCAGAGTAGGTAGATATAAACATCATCAAAGTTGGTCAAACAGCCCAATGTGGGCCAATGCCTTCCTCTGAAGATTTCTCCATAACAACTTCATATTTATCTTTGATATCCAATTCTTTTCATAATTGCAAGAAAATCAAACTCCACCGAATCAGTCTATCTCGACCGCGGCCTTCCCTGCTTTCTTGTTCCAGTGAGTCAAAAAAGCTAGTTATGTTAATTATAAACCTTGTACAGTTCAGAGTTAAATCTCCTTCTCCAGTTACTTTCATTTACACCACCAAGTATACTCTGCAAAATCTTTCTCTCAAATATTGCCACACAATTTTCCTCCAGTTTTGTCATTGTCCAAGCTTTAGTAGCATATGTCAAGACCGGCCTGACAAGAGTTTTGCAAATTAAAAACTTGGTACAGTCGAACCCCGCTATAGTGAACCATCTGTGGACTCAGTATTGTGTCCACTATAACCGATGGTTCACTATATCTAAATTTCTTGAAGAATATTTTTTGCATAAGACAGTTGAATGATTGAAAATTGGCTTTGCAATTTTGCATAAGTTATTTAAAAAATTATTAACTAATTAACAGATAATAAAGCAAAAATTGATGGAAAAAAGCACAACAAAGATTTTATTTCTCACACTGCATCACAACCGCTTTCTTAATACAGATATAAACATTATTCTAATAGTAAAATAAAAATGTTTCACTTCCTCTTTCTCGAGAAACTTCTATTCCTTTATCCCCCCTTTGCTTGATTTTCTTTTAATATCAATGGTGTTCTCCAAATAAATAAAAAAGAATAAGAAAATAAAAGAAATAATAGAGGCTGAATTGAAAGTGAAATCTAAATTTATTAAATTAAAACATTTAAGATAAAATAATTTATGTTACTCAATAATGTTACTTTAAACCTCAATAATAACTTATTTTTAGACTTGTTTAAAGCATATATAGTAGCAATTTTAAAAATTAATGCCTAATTCATAAAAATTTAATGAATGAACATTTATTTTCGTTTTAACTTTTATAAAAATAAAATGTATATATGAATTTAAACCTTACTTGATCTTCAACTAAAAATAAAAATTAATATTAATAGAAAAGTGCTTTGAAATAATTATTATTCTATATCAAGGTAGAGAATTTCTGATCGCTACCAGGCTACTAAAAAACTTGAATGGTTTAAATAAAATATTTTCAATGTAAATTTAATATATATCAAAAATATAAATTTTGAAAAACTTAATTTTTTTATTAGGGAGGAAATTTCCAGTTAAACTTATTNATGCATTCATTTTCAGTCCCAACACCTACAAGTTTAAAGATGGAGGACTGAAAAAGATATTTAAAGAAATGAAATTTGAGTCCACTATAACCGAGTTTCTAAGTTCTAAGCTGTTCACTATAAGCGTTAAAAATAACATTATTTAAATAGAAATATGGACGGGACCGCTAAAAAAGTTCACTACATCCGAGTGTTCACTATATCCCAGGTTCACTATAGCGGGGTTCGACTGTATAACTAGAAAGAAACCTAGATTTAATTAATCTTCTCAGCCCTATTTACCAGATAGAGTCAGGTTTTTTTTTTTTTATCTTAGGAGACATTCTGTTATCAATAGTAATAATTGATCCTAAGTAAGTAAAACTCCTTACTGTTTCAAATCTATAAGAATCTATTTAAGATAGATATAAACAAAAAAATTTAAATTTGATACATGTTTGAAATCTACACTGGTTGGAGAAAATTATTGAAACACTTTCTTTTTGCTACATATGTTGTAGAAGATTTTACGTGGCAAAACTGTTAGCACGATTTAAAAGATATATTTTTGCTTGAAGCTTTCAGAAATTAGGTGATTTTTACCACTGGTTGTTAGGGCACTGAGCCAAGAGGTTGTGGGTATGATCCCTGCCGGCTGAAGACTCCCCGTGTAGCAAATGGCGACTGATTTACATTAAATCTGCCGGGTCACAAAGTCCTCCATGTTCCCATAACAAATCATACCTCTGGGGGTACTGATCTAGGAGTTTCCTTGTCTTCTGGATTGGATTCCAAATTATAATGCTACAGAGTTGAACATTAGTCGTATACCACAAATTATAATGTAAAATCAAAATGAAGAAAGGAATTCAATAACTTCTTCTTAGCTTTTTTGAAATCATTCTATAGGATTGCAATATTCATTTAAGAATGCTTTTTCAATTATAGTGGTATTGAAAAAAGAAAGAAACATTCAACTTTTTAGGCAGATTTTTGTTTATGCAAACTTTGCACCATTTCTAAAAGCTTCAAGCATGATCTTTCAAATTGTGCCTACAGTTTTGCCATGCAAAATCTTCCAAAACATTTGCTACTAAAAGAAATATTGTTTACACAGAGTTAGTATAAAAGTGTTTCCATATTTTTGTCCAACTCCTATACTTTTCATTTACAGAGAATTTACGTAAATGTCACTAATGCTTCAAAAAATTATATAATTATAAATTAAAATTATAAGTTAAATGGCAATCAAAACAAAAAATTCTAATACTTTATAGAATAAGCATAAACAATGTTTCTGTTTAACTTGCCAGACTATCAAAATTATTTCAGATGCTATTTAATAGTTACAAGCTTTGTTTTATTTAATTATAAGAAATATACCTAAATTTCAAATAAATTCAAAATCGTAAGCAATAAAACTTTTATTACATACATAAAAATGAGTCGAACAAGATCGCATAATCAATATTTTTTAATAATTAAATTTTTTAAAAATTGTAAATACGTTGGCATTTTTGTAGCAAAAAATAGTTTTTAAAACTTGTACCAATATATAAATGCAATCAATCAACAACATAAGAAATTTTTCAATATATCTTCAACTAAACCTTAAATTAATTTAAACTTCAAATCAAAAACTATAATTTATTATGGTAAGATTAAAAGAGTATTACAAAAAACATAAAGGTGATTAGATTTTAAAATTTCGGAAAATTATGCATTTTTTTTATATAAAAATTACCTTAATAACCTCCATTTCATTATTTTCTTCAAAATCTTTGGGCACTGGCATGTCCTTGTGGGTAAGATACAGCAGTTGGATATAGTCAAAAGCATCGCTTATTCTAAAAAAAAAAAAATTGTCTTCTAAAATACTTAATTCAAAAATTTATTTACTAAGTTTTGGAAATAATAACTATTTCAACTACATAACTACTCATAATTAAATAACTAATAGCAAATAGTATAAATATTAAATATTCCAGGTGCTGAGTTATTTTTTACACACACATTTTTAGCTGCATTCAGAATAAAAAGCTCACCGATATAATATTTAATAAATTTATTTTCCCTTTTCAATAAAGCTTATACAGAAACAAATCACAAAAACTTTTTTAGACTTACATTTTTTTGCTAACTTTAAATTCAGATTTAATGAGCCTCTTGATTTAAACAGCATTTTCCAGTTTATTAAGCTCCCTTTTTAAAATAAGAGTACAATTGTAACAAATAGTTTTTAAGATTATGATTTGGTGCTTTTAACAATTGATGATGCAACTAAAATTAGTTTTAGGTTAAAAATGACTATATTGAATGAATTTTTGTCTCCAATTCTTCAATTGGCAATCGAAATGGTTATGCATAACAGAACTTTTTAATTACACTTCACATTCTTCATCCTTAGCGTGGGGATAGTTATAGGAAAAGGAAGTATGTTAATTTCTATCTTGATTTTTTAAACAGATCAAAATTTTATAAGTTTGAAAATTATTTCGTGGGCACCCCAGGTCGCAAATACTTTTCTCTTGTTAAATAATCTTAAAGTAATTCAAATTATATGCATTTAAATGATACTTACAAATTGTGCTCGATCATATCAATTAGTAGAGAATCAATATTTTTTGTTACAGCAAAATGAAAAGCCATGGGCCCAAAATGTCTTGTTGATCTTAGTTCATCAAATTTTTTCTTATCTCTTATATGTTCATATGTTGCAGTTGTGATCTGATAAAATAATACAAACCAAAAAGTTATTTAAAGACTGAATAGAATAGAATTATTATAAAATATTGAATTTTGTTTTAACTTTCAAATATAAAATGCATACTACTTGTAATAAACTGTTTTAATAACCCAAATTATAACTAAATTTGATGAAGGAAATTAATAGTGAAAAATGACAAATTAACATAAAATTTTATTTCAATTACAATTTACAAATGCTCGATACAAAATCATCTTAAGGATTATTTGTGATCTAGTGATGCAGTTCAATGAAAATAATTGATGATAGAAAAATTATTAAAGTAAGATTGGTTATCAATGAATATTTGTTTTGAGGATTCTATCTATGAGTTATAGTTTGTACATCACATTTAAAATAATTATTGAAAAAGAGTAAAAAATATAAAAAAAAGAATTAAAATATATTTTGAAAATTTAAAAGAATGTTTTATTATAATGCATATAAAATTATTTAAATAGAATTTTTCTCTGCATTTATTGTAATGGTTTAAATATAGATTTTTGAAATAAAATAAAAGATTTTGTTATAAGCAGCACTTCATGCTTATTCTAAAATCAGAAATTATAATAAAATCAGAATTTATAATAACAAAATAAGCTGTCGTGTTGTTATTATTATTATATGTTTAAAACTCCATAAAAGAATTATTGATTGGAATAATACAAAATTAGCTTACTCGGTGATATTCTGGGTCATCAGGTTCAAATTGGCAGCATGCACTGTCTAAAATAAATTTGTATGCTCCATCTTCAAGAAGGCACTATAAAGATTAACAAGTTTGATTAAATAACAAGAGACAACATAAAAAAATAATTTTACTATATTAAATTATTCTACAGTAGGGAACCGATTATCCGGAACGATCGGGACCATCGCTATTCTGGATAACTGATTTTTCCGGTTTTCTGAATCGCTACAAAAAGCCATTTTTTTATTGTTAAACCCAACAAAAAAAAATTTATTTGGAAATAATCTTAAAAAGAGGAAAAAACGATGAAGTAATACACTAATGATTATTTCCAAAATGATGGTAAAGTAAACATCTTTCAAAAAAGAAAGAAAAATCCTAAAATCTTGTGAGGGAAAAAATTTTTTTTTTTTTTTTTAAATGGGGAAATTTATCGAATTTTGTTCCGGTTTTTTGGTTTTCCGGTTTTCTGAATTCCGGATAACGGGTTCTGTACTGTATTATGTATACCAAGTTTCAATATTTTTTTTTTTTTACCAATGGCAGGCACTGAATTTGATTCTTTTGCCTATACTATGCCAGAATTGTTGCTCATTTCGCGTTACCCAGTGGGCACCTGTGAACCAAAGTCACGGAGGCGAGCAACATTGCCCAAGTTTCAATATGTACACCACGCATAAATACACCAACTTTTAATATACACATATTTTAATGTCGAAATTAAAAAGTTGATAGTGAAAGAAATTAACTTTAGGAAGTTTAAGAAAATACTGTACCAAGAAGGGAAAAAATGGGAATTTTTGGTAAATGATTTGAGCAAGAACAAAAGAATAATTTAAACCACAACATGCACATTAAAATAATATTCAATGTACTAGCCATACTTGGTGACCAACTTTGTCACCTTTAGAAGCTGGCTGCCTTGCAACTTTTTTCTGCATGATAAGGTATTTTGGTTATGTGTCATTCCAATAATAAGAGCAATCAACAGATGTCTTAATTTAATTGTTGAAGAATAGAAAATTATTGAGTTTGAAGACTCAGCTGCAGAAACTTTATTCTTTAAACATGAATGAAAGAGCCCAAATTCATATAAAACAAAAAAATGGATCTTATGATGACAAATCAAACTACAAGAAAAGAGACTTAGTTATGAAGTTTAAATTCCAATTAAACATTAAAATATATACTAATGTCTATATATGTCTGTTTCATGCTTTACAAATGAAATCTACTAAAATTTATCTTCAAAAATTTTAAATTCTTCGTAAATTCATCGATTATGCAATCTGGTGTTGCCACCACATTTTTTATTCGACTTCAGAAATATCTAAAAGTGCTAAAAGCGGACTAGAAAAAAAATTTATTAACAACATAAAAGATCATTTAAACTAGCAGCTCCTAAAAAGTGTTCCGCTGAACCTTAGGGTTCATTGGATATGTCACAGGAGTTCAAAGAGTTAAGAGTTTTGTTTCATTAAGTAACGATTTTAAAAACCTGTAATTACATTTAGATCTAAATAATTATCTAATATCTCAGTATTCTTTATAAAATTATTTCCATAAAAATGCCAATGAAAATGAAAAACCTTTAAAAAAAATTATTATAACAATGTACAGTAGGGAACCCATTATCCAGAACGATCGGGACCGTCGCTATTCCGGATAACTAATTTTTCCGGTTTTCTAAATCGCTACAAAAAGCCGTTTTTTTTATTGTTAAACCAAACTAAAAAAAATAATATTTGGAAATAATCTTAAAAAGAAGAAAAAACGAAGTAATACACTAATGATTATTTCCAAAATGATAGTAAGGTAAACATCTTTCCAAAAAGAAAGAAAAATCCTAAAATCGTATGAGGAAAGAAAAAAAAAAATTTTTTTTTAATGGCAGGAAAATTTATCGAATTTCGTTCCGGATAACGGGTTCTGTACTGTATATTGAACAAATCATGAAAACGATATGCATTTATAAAAATATCTCATTAAAAACTGTAATTTCCAGGATATAACCCGCTGCAGCGCATATCCTGCCAGCCTAATTTTTGGCAAGGCGAAAAAAATAACGGCTTATACGTTCCTGAGTAGAAGCCATCTAGAATGCAGTATTTCAGTGATATTGTAGAAATAATTATTATAAATATAAATTTAAAATCACAAGCAAAAGATATAAAAATTAAATGTAATTACATCAAACTACTATAACAGTTAAATGTACATTGAAATGCACAACATGCATATTTCAGTATAACAATTGAAAATTGATCACTTGCCTCAAAATAAGGACTTTCATACATTTTTGGAGTTTCTAAATTTCTTCCAGGTAAAGGATAAAATATTTGATTCAGGCGTGTTCTTTCATCCCAGTCAGCTTTCCTTAATGTGCCATCAGTTTCTCTAACTGTTATCATTCGATCCTACAAATAATAACTCATTAATAAAATGAACATAAAGATATAAACAATATTGAACTTTAAATAGTGTTCCCAGGAAATATGTTTAAAGCATTTTTTTATAAAGTTTTTGAAAAAAATTATCTTTAAAATTCCATAGCCAGAAAGAAGGTTCAAGACTCCTTATGCACTTTTTAACTCCTTTCCCTAATACTTTTAAATGTGTACTAAACTAACCATAAAATGCGATTTTAAATCACACAAACTTATGTCAATTATTGAAAACTAATTCTGATACATCTCAGTCTCAAACTTCAATTAATGTAAAAAAAAATTAAAATTAATAAAACAAAATCATAATTTATAACAAGATTCTCAGCTTATCTTATTATAATTTGTAAATATTAAAGATTCATTCAAAAATTTGTTTTCTTAAAATCATAAAATATTTGATAAAGTTTAAAATAATTTAATTATCGACAGTTAAATTATAAAAAAAATATTGCAAATCATATTAATTTCAATAGAAAAAAAACTTTTCATGGCAAAATGAAACATTTGAGAGACTGATAACTTTTTTTCCGCCTCTAAGCTTGTAAGATAGACTCCATAACTTGCGAGGCATTTTAGAGGAATTGATTGTTTTCATAATTTAAAAAGAAAAAAAATCATAAACATCTCAATTATTGGTTTTTTGCCTCTTTCAGCTATTATCTAAAACTAAATGCCATATCAGCTTTGCAACTTGATTATATTTTTTCTTAATTTTAATTCACTAAGTAATCATGATAGAAAAATTAAATAATAACGATAAATGAGAGGCTTCAAAATTTTTAAAATCTGTTCAGTAAGCAAAATAAAACCTTAGGAGGAAAAAAAAAATTTTTTATTCGTACAACAGTAAAAGCAATATTTTGTATTAACAAAATTTAATAAATAGTTTACTCCTTTAGATTCCCTTATATTAAAACAATTGTTAATACACTAATAATACTCTAGCTATAAAAACAACCACATTACTACCAGTCAGAGCTCTAGATTAGCCTGTTGATAGTGTGTGACCATTTAACTGAAGATGGCTATTGAAAATTCAAATTATAATTGCCAAAAGTGGCAACCATATTATAGTGTGCTTTTTAAAAAATGCCGAACTGCTACAGTACGAGTGGGTTCCTACCCTCAATGGGTACATAAGACTTTTAATGACATCAACACCCACACAGAGAACTTACAAGGTTTATATATGTATATATATATATATTGCTTTTTGTTAATAAATATAATGTCAATAAAACACCTTTTTTTTCGTACATTCTAATTTTTTCTTAATTAACTTAAAACAAGTTTTTTTAAAACTTCTACCTTTACATTTATACTTATCTAAAAGTGGCTACCATACGAGCGATTAATTCTCACTTGGGCCGGATCACGCTATTGGTCGAAAATGACATCACTGTTTGGGGGAAGGGAAATGGTGGCTGTTGGCTGGTGTTTGTACGAGTTTGGCGACAAATTTCGTATGCACGCTTGCTCGCTCGGAATTTATTTATTCCTTGTAAATGTTTTCGTAATATTATGTTGTCGTTAGGGTGGGGAGATAGGTAAATGTCCACTTCAGCATTTCAGACAATATTTATGTTTTAATTGATTTAAATTCATCAAAGCTAAAAACAATAAAAATAATGAATGTTTTTACAAGTATAAGATAGTAGAGTAATATTACAAATAAGTTTTTTTTTTCGTTTGTTTGTTTTTCTATAAGAATAATCTTTTGCAGTTATGAAGTAACAAAAATTTAAATAAACATAAGCTCAAATTTACTCATACATCGCAATTTAGTTGTGTTATGAATAATTTTAAAAACTTCATAATCAAGCAACACGTAAATTTAGTTTAAAGTAATGACCAAAATTCTGGGCTAGCCTCCCCCCCCCCTGCATTTCTAGAACAGCCCCAGTTGCTAATGACGTAAAAGCAGTATGTATAGCTTAATTTCACTTACTTAGATTCTAATAAAAAATTACCACAAAACTGTGCAAAATGTGAATATTGTCTTTATTAGTCAACATTAATACCACGAGTAAATAGAGCACATTTGAAAACTAAATATAAAATCTGTCGCCAAGTATTTTCGACCAATGGCGTGATCCGGCCCAAGTGAGAATTAATCGCTCGTGGCTACCATTGCTAGCCAGTGGATACTAATTATAATTGCTAGTGAAGAGTTCCACTACCAGAGATAACAAAAACAAGCTAATGAGCAAAAAAGTATCTATAGGACAGGCAGGGCCTGATTTCTAAATACGAAGGCTGTGGTGGCACAACAATGTCGGAGGACCCACCGGTAGCTTTAAAATATATTATCATGTTGTTGATACACTAAATGCTTTTAAATTATTTGTAACAAAAGTAAGTTATGATGTACTAGTACTTTTGCTTCCATTAAAATTTTTATAAACTCACAATTCTACAGGAAAAGCACAAAAAGGGAATTATTTGTAATATCTAGGGTCCCGGCCTAGGGCCTCATGATAAATAAGGCACTGAGGCCAGGACCATGTGAATAATAATGCAATGGAAAAGAAAAAAGAATAATCATTATAAATATGCCTATACATATATACCCAATCTTTGATGGCTATATCACACGAGAGAAAATAAGTGCAACTGTAAGTGTAATTTCTCAAAAAATTGCTCAAAAATCCTCGTGTGATATAGAAATCACGGTTGCACAAAATATCTGCAATCGTTCAGGCAATTTCGTACGTGAACCAATCAGATCGTTTGCTTTTTATGACATTTCAATTTTATGTGATGACATATACAAATGTAAATAAAAATGGTGGCAGCGTTAGGAAGAGGATGTTAGGATGAAATTTTTTTATGGATGAGACGGAACAGTTTTTTAGTTTAATAATAACATTTTCTTTAAAATGAAAGCATTAAAAATACTTTCGCACTATGAGATGACCATCTCAATGCAGTTGATGTACTACCATAACAGGAACCTGCACACGATTTTAGTATCGGTGAGTATAGTACACTATTTCTGCGATAAATTTTCTTTTAAAATATTTATTTATTTTAAACTAATAAAATTAAAACTTATTATAATTTGTTCCGATCAAAGTTTTAATTACTTTAAATAGAAATAATTTCTATTTTTATATATGTAAAGATTTATACTGGCGAAAAGCTTTACTTTGAAATATTCGCCAAGCAACTCGCCAAACTTTGTTACATTATTATAACATAAAATATAATAATGATTATATTTCTTTATTTTCAAATTTTAAACTTTATTACTGTTGATTGTAAAAGCATGTGTCCGATTATTTGAAATTTTTTTATTATTATAATTATTTGTGAATTAATTATTTTATTCTTCCCTAAGAATTCTTTTAATTTTTGAAAATCTAAAATGCAAATTTCCAATCTCCTTGTCTGTTTCTACATTCATCCCCTCAATTCTTTTTTTTTTTTTGTGTGTGATGATTTACTAATGATACTTTACTTTTTATTTATACTTCACATTTATATTTTGATACTTAGCTTTTCTACAATGACAGTAAGTATGT